ATAGCGCAAGCTTCGATGACGACCACCACATCGTGCGTAGCGATGGCGGTAATTTACGTCTATATACCATACACGATCGTCGTAAGCATTCCCAGGAACGTTATGAGAGGAATCTTGGCAGCAACAATTACAGCAGCATTGTGAACTCCAATTGGGACCAACGGGATGATCGCAGCGAACGCCCATATATTAGCAATTATGAGCCTGGCAATTACAAGCGCGGAGGGCGCTTTCACAATCGTAATACGTACGATAACCCACCACGGTTCCAAAAGCAGCAGCAATAGCAACATCACTCACCTCATGGGCACCAAAATAAAGACAATCAGAGGATTCACAGCGAGACGTGGCGTCGCTAAAATACGTCCATAAACAATTCTTATCAGGATAAGAACTGTGCCTACAACTCCAGTGGGCACGAGTCAAATAGTTGCAGTTCATCACCAAAATCACAAATGGACGATGGAAAGTCGAATGCATCATATCGTCAGCATCACCAACCGAATGCTGAGAACTGACAGGCCCAGGGAAGCACCAAGGATGAGACCGAGATAGTTCGGAATGCCCAACAAACCACAAAACACATGAACTATTTGTACGCGCAGAAATGAGAAAAGGCTCCAGGTCAACGGCGTCCCCGCGGCAAAAGGACACGTCGTCGCAAAAATAATAAACAAAATACTCTCCCAAATGGAATGATTATAATAAGAACATTTTGTATACTAAATAAGATAATATATTGACAAATAGATTATATGTGAAGCTTATGCTGTCCCTTACTCATGAATTCAACTTTTACATACATAAATATATACATGACAGACGTGTTTTTCTTGAGCTGTGTGTTTTTTATTATTTTTCATTTTAAAGCAGCTTTTAATTTGTAATTATTGTTTTACATTGTAAAGTTAATGTCTATTTGGCCCGTATTGTGCTCAGTTTATTGGTTGTGCATAATTTTATAGTTTCGGCGTCAATTCACTTTATTTTTGTTTTTGCAATTATTTAGCATTTTGCTTTTAAGCAGCTCCCTTTGCGTGCATAAGGTTTGTGTGAGTGTTCGCGGTAGTCCTCTCATTGTGCACTTTGCTCTCACTCAGCCTTCTTTTGTTGTTTGTGTTTGCTGTTTGTCGCAGTACCTAAAAGCTCATCTTAGTACCGCTCATTTTCTTTGCTCAATTTTAGCTTACAGCATTCTTCTTAAGCTTTGCGCTATCTACGTTATTTAGGTCATTCATCCTTAAATTTATTCAGTCCACAATGTTTTGCTGAAACAAGTCTTGCACAATTAAAGGTTCAATTGATTTTGATCAACTTCGGTTTGTTAGCTGTTGGTTGTACGAGAATTTTATTCATATTAAATGTGCAGGATTAAGTGGGCGTGACTTCGACAAAGTTTACTCACCTAAAAAAGGCTGTGGTGGCTTGAGGTGGTCCTGCCCTGTACGCATTGACATCCAATTTAATTTCTCACGTATGTATAATAACGTGGGAAATAAATTTTTAAAATTGCAAAAGTTAACTAAGCAACTTTCAACTGAGTTCGATAGTCAATATAAGTTTGTGTCTCTGCCCAAACGTAGGTTAGAGCCTCAATTTCTAGAGGTACCGCGGAGGGAGGGAATTTCCAAAATACACATTTTCTGCGAATTCACATAAAGCATCTGAGACTAAAATTAGTTATACGAATGGAAAATCGGGAAAACCCCCCATAGGGGGAAAGTGGGGGGTACACACATAAGGTATCTGTGTGCAAAAGTTGGTCTCTCTAGCTCTTATTGTCTCTGAGATCCAGGACACACGGACAGACGGACAGATATAGATCGACTCGTCTTGTCACGCTGATAAAGAATATATATACTTTGTGAGATCTGCCATGCCTCCATCTGTCTGTTACATTTTTCAGCTCCCGCAAACCTAGAATTGTACTCTTGTACATTTCATGTACAGATTATAAAAATATAAAACTGTCATAAAAAAGTTATAGTTGCGAGTGTCATCACTTATTGATGGCTGCGAACTGCTCGTGAATGAACTAGTTCACCCGCGAATTATTTTATACAAAAAAAATATTTTAATTAAGTACTCATAGATCTGTGCATTTTAACTCTATTCATCACCTATTTAAAAAAAAGGAACATTTACGTGTATTATTCATACGGCCAGAGGCAGTAGCATAGAACGGATAAGCAGGCATTGGTGGAGAACGCAAACAAACGGAACTTCACAAACACAACGCACACAAACAGCAACAATTCCGATCAAGAAATGGCTAATATAGTTAGCAATCACAACAGTAGCAGCAGCAGCAACGGCACCAAGTACACAATATCTTACAATAATTTAAACAACGCTAGTACGAACAGCAATGGAATTGGCAGTGCTGGCAGCGAGGTGCAGACTTTGCGCGACGTTATGTCCTGTAATATGCTGAACGCGGGAGTAGGAACAGGTCCTGTCAACTATATGATACCAACAGGTGGTTGTGTCTATGACCACATCATTGCCATGATGAAGGGCCTTGATCTGGAGGATGATGGTATATTGTTGAACAGGAAGATAAAGGCCATAGAAACGGATTTCTACAACATTATTCGCGACGAATCGATGCTGTGGTTTGTATAAGTCCATTGATGATTAATATATAAAAAGATATATAAATAATATATAATAATAATAATAATATATACATACATACATTTACTAATACATGCATGTAAACATTGGTGCACACAGAGCTAAGCATGTTTCTGTTACCACAATTTACAACTTTCTTAAATACCGTATAGACCATTTTTTCAAAAATACATATCTCATTGTGAGCAATATTAGTTTTGTTTCCTTATATATTATATGCCTCAAAAAAATAGTATATTAATAATTTTCTTATTTTATATTGCAGTGAGTCCATGGAGTATATAAACGATAAGGCATTAGGCGATGGAGACACTGCTCTGAAATTTGCTCTACTTTTTTCATCCCGGAACTTCGATGCGTTGACTACGAAAGAGACAAAGGTCCGAAGTGCTATGCTAAAGATCCTGGAGACAAATTTCATCAATGCAGACGCATACCGAGAGCATGACAAGAATCGTCTGTACAACTCCATAACACTTTTAGGCGAATACTATCATCGCGTTCGTTTGGCCAACAATGCACCTATTACAATTTTGGGTGAATCGCTGCTCAATCTACTTACAAGGGAGATCAATGACACCTCATTGGTAATAAATACTCGATTGGCGCGTTTGATTTTATCACAGATTACGCTTAATGGCGAGATAATGCGCTCGCGCCATAAGGTAGAAATTGACCAACTACTGTACCATATTAGACGCCACCTGATAATGCAGCCGGTGCTAACGCCTAAAGTAAAAGCTATGCTGCTTATGGTGTTGGATTTGTTCTACAGCCATTTTAAGCACATTGGCTTCGAGTTGGAGGCAATGTACTCAGACTACCTGGTTGCTGAGAGTGCGGAAGACGATGGTATTAATAACAATAGTGTAGCTGTGCAGCCGCAGACTCAGTACCAGCAGCAACAAGAGTCTCAAAGTGCGTATATAGAAGGACATGGGAGAAGTAACACTGATAATGCCAGCCAAACAAATGAGTCCACCCACGATTCTTTTGAGTTGCAGCCTACGATGAAGAAATGGATCGAGCAAGTCTGTGAAGATTCGCTCTGCGATATTGGTTTTGGCGAGGCGGATATTGGTAGTGGTGATCTTTACAGTCAAGTCGAGCACGAACAAGCACGAGAAAGCAACAGAAATTCAAATAACGAAGGAGGCGTGAATCGCCAAAGCCGACGACCATATCAGCCGCGCACATCACCGCGTCCTTTGAAACACCCTCAGGTGGCCAATGAAGAGTAAGTGTTGCGATTGTGGAAACCATTCTCTTAAAAATAACATTTTTATTGTTCAAATTATTACCCGCTCCGAAGGACTCGATCAATACGCGTCTGTGGGAAACAGTGAAGATCGTGATGAGACTAAGCCTTCCCCTAGCTGGCGCAAGACTCGTTTTAATCGCCCCATCGATGGTGATAATCAAAACGGACGTTCGCGCAACCAACAACGTCGCTATAGCGCAAGCTTCGATGACGACCACCACATCGTGCGTAGCGATGGCGGTAATTTACGTCTATATACCATACACGATCGTCGTAAGCATTCCCAGGAACGTTATGAGAGGAATCTTGGCAGCAACAATTACAGCAGCATTGTGAACTCCAATTGGGACCAACGGGATGATCGCAGCGAACGCCCATATATTAGCAATTATGAGCCTGGCAATTACAAGCGCGGAGGGCGCTTTCACAATCGTAATACGTACGATAACCCACCACGGTTCCAAAAGCAGCAGCAATAGCAACATCACTCACCTCATGGGCACCAAAATAAAGACAATCAGAAGATTCACAGCGAGACGTGGCGTCGCTAAAATACGTCCATAAACAATTCTTATCAGGATAAGAGCTGTGCCTACAACTCCAGTGGGCACGAGTCAAATAGTTGCAGTTCATCACCAAAATCACAAATGTACGATGGAAAGTCGAATGCATCATATCGTCAGCGTCATCGCAATTTCACGCGACGTTCCCAGCCGCATATACACCAACCGAATGCTGAGAACTGACAGGCCCAGGGAAGCACCAAGGATGAGACCGAGATAGTTCGGAATGCCCAAGAAACCACAAAACACATGAACTATTTGTCCGCGAAGAAATGAGAAAAGGCTCCAGGTCAACGGCGTCCCCGCGGCAAAAGGACACGTCGTCGCAAAAATAATAAACAAAATACTCTCCCAAATGGAATGATTATAATAAGAACATTTTGTATACTAAATAAGAAATATATTGACAAATAGATTATATGTGAAGCTTATGCTGTCCCTTACTCATGAATTCAACTTTTACATACATAAATATATACATGACAGACGTGTTTTTCTTGAGCTGTGTGTTTTTTATTATTTTTCATTTTAAAGCAGCTTTTAATTTGTAATTATTGTTTTACATTGTAAAGTTAATGTCTATTTGGCCCGTATTGTGCTCAGTTTATTGGTTGTGCATAATTTTATAGTTTCGGCGTCAATTCACTTTATTTTTGTTTTTGCAATTATTTAGCATTTTGCTTTTAAGCAGCTCCCTTTGCGTGCATAAGGTTTGTGTGAGTGTTCGCGGTAGTCCTCTCATTGTGCACTTTGCTCTCACTCAGCCTTCTTTTGTTGTTTGTGTTTGCTGTTTGTCGCAGTACCTAAAAGCTCATCTTAGTACCGCTCATTTTCTTTGCTCAATTTTAGCTTACATCATTCTTCTTAAGCTTTGCGCTAACTACGTTATTTAGGTCATTCATCCTTATATTTATTCTGCCCACAATGTTTTGCTGAAACAAGTCTTGCACAATTAAAGGTTCAATTGATTTTGATCAACTTCGGTTTGTTAGCTGTTGGTTGTACGAGAATTTTATTCATATTAAATGTGCAGGATTAAGTGGGCGTGACTTCGACAAAGTTTACTCACCTAAAAAAGACTGTGGTGGCTTGAGGTGGTCCTGCCCTGTACGCATTGACATCCAATTTAATTTCTCACGTATGTATAATAACGTGGGAAATAAATTTTTAAAATTGCAAAAGTTAACTAAGCAACTTTCAACTGAGTTCGATAGTCAATATAAGTTTGTGTCTCTGCCCAAACGTAGGTTAGAGCCTCAATTTCTAGAGGTACCGCGGGGGGAGGGAATTTCCAAAATACACATTTTCTGCGAATTCACATAAAGCATCTGAGACTAAAATTAGTTATACGAATGGAAAATCGGGAAAACCCCCCATAGGGGGAAAGTGGGGGGTACACACATAAGGTATCTGTGTGCAAAAGTTGGTCTCTCTAGCTCTTATTGTCTCTGAGATCCAGGACACACGGACAGACGGACAGATATAGATCGACTCGTCTTGTCACGCTGATAAAGTATATATATACTTTGTGAGATCTGCCATGCCTCCATCTGTCTGTTACATTTTTCAGCTCCCGCAAACCTAGAATTGTACTCTTGTACATTTCATGTACAGATTATAAAAATATAAAACTGTCATAAAAAAGTTATAGTTGCGAGTGTCATCACTTATTGATGGCTGCGAACTGCTCGTGAATGAACTAGTTCACCCGCGAACTGTTCGCACTCCAACACACGGTATTATTTTATACAAAAAAAATATTTTAATTAAGTACTCATAGATCTGTGCATTTTAACTCTATTCATCACCTATTTAAAAAAAAGGAACATTTACGTGTATTATTCATACGGCCAGAGGCAGTAGCATAGAACGGATAAGCAGGCATTGGTGGAGAACGCAAACAAACGGAACTTCACAAACACAACGCACACAAACAGCAACAATTCCGATCAAGAAATGGCTAATATAGTTAGCAATCACAACAGTAGCAGCAGCAGCAACGGCACCAAGTACACAATATCTTACAATAATTTAAACAACGCTAGTACGAACAGCAATGGAATTGGCAGTGCTGGCAGCGAGGTGCAGACTTTGCGCGACGTTATGTCCTGTAATATGCTGAACGCGGGAGTAGGAACAGGTCCTGTCAACTATATGATACCAACAGGTGGTTGTGTCTATGACCACATCATTGCCATGATGAAGGGCCTTGATCTGGAGGATGATGGTATATTGTTGAACAGGAAGATAAAGGCCATAGAAACGGATTTCTACAACATTATTCGCGACGAATCGATGCTGTGGTTTGTATAAGTCCATTGATGATTAATATATAAAAAGATATATAAATAATATATAATAATAATAATAATATATACATACATACATTTACTAATACATGCATGTAAACATTGGTGCACACAGAGCTAAGCATGTTTCTGTTACCACAATTTACAACTTTCTTAAATACCGTATAGACCATTTTTTCAAAAATACATATCTCATTGTGAGCAATATTAGTTTTGTTTCCTTATATATTATATGCCTCAAAAAAATAGTATATTAATAATTTTCTTATTTTATATTGCAGTGAGTCCATGGAGTATATAAACGATAAGGCATTAGGCGATGGAGACACTGCTCTGAAATTTGCTCTACTTTTTTCATCCCGGAACTTCGATGCGTTGACTACGAAAGAGACAAAGGTCCGAAGTGCTATGCTAAAGATCCTGGAGACAAATTTCATCAATGCAGACGCATACCGAGAGCATGACAAGAATCGTCTGTACAACTCCATAACACTTTTAGGCGAATACTATCATCGCGTTCGTTTGGCCAACAATGCACCTATTACAATTTTGGGTGAATCGCTGCTCAATCTACTTACAAGGGAGATCAATGACACCTCATTGGTAATAAATACTCGATTGGCGCGTTTGATTTTATCACAGATTACGCTTAATGGCGAGATAATGCGCTCGCGCCATAAGGTAGAAATTGACCAACTACTGTACCATATTAGACGCCACCTGATAATGCAGCCGGTGCTAACGCCTAAAGTAAAAGCTATGCTGCTTATGGTGTTGGATTTGTTCTACAGCCATTTTAAGCACATTGGCTTCGAGTTGGAGGCAATGTACTCAGACTACCTGGTTGCTGAGAGTGCGGAAGACGATGGTATTAATAACAATAGTGTAGCTGTGCAGCCGCAGACTCAGTACCAGCAGCAACAAGAGTCTCAAAGTGCGTATATAGAAGGACATGGGAGAAGTAACACTGATAATGCCAGCCAAACAAATGAGTCCACCCACGATTCTTTTGAGTTGCAGCCTACGATGAAGAAATGGATCGAGCAAGTCTGTGAAGATTCGCTCTGCGATATTGGTTTTGGCGAGGCGGATATTGGTAGTGGTGATCTTTACAGTCAAGTCGAGCACGAACAAGCACGAGAAAGCAACAGAAATTCAAATAACGAAGGAGGCGTGAATCGCCAAAGCCGACGACCATATCAGCCGCGCACATCACCGCGTCCTTTGAAACACCCTCAGGTGGCCAATGAAGAGTAAGTGTTGCGATTGTGGAAACCATTCTCTTAAAAATAACATTTTTATTGTTCAAATTATTAGCCGCTCCGAAGGACTCGATCAATACGCGTCTGTGGGAAACAGTGAAGATCGTGATGAGACTAAGCCTTCCCCTAGCTGGCGCAAGACTCGTTTTAATCGCCCCATCGATGGTGATAATCAAAACGGACGTTCGCGCAACCAACAACGTCGCTATAGCGCAAGCTTCGATGACGACCACCACATCGTGCGTAGCGATGGCGGTAATTTACGTCTATATACCACACACGATCGTCGTAAGCATTCCCAGGAACGTTATGAGAGGAATCTTGGCAGCAACAATTACAGCAGCATTGTGAACTCCAATTGGGACCAACGGGATGATCGCAGCGAACGCCCATATATTAGCAATTATGAGCCTGGCAATTACAAGCGCGGAGGGCGCTTTCACAATCGTAATACGTACGATAACCCACCACGGTTCCAAAAGCAGCAGCAATAGCAACATCACTCACCTCATGGGCACCAAAATAAAGACAATCAGAGGATTCACAGCGAGACGTGGCGTCGCTAAAATACGTCCATAAACAATTCTTATCAGGATAAGAACTGTGCCTACAACTCCAGTGGGCACGAGTCAAATAGTTGCAGTTCATCACCAAAATCACAAATGGACGATGGAAAGTCGAATGCATCATATCGTCAGCATCACCAACCGAATGCTGAGAACTGACAGGCCCAGGGAAGCACCAAGGATGAGACCGAGATAGTTCGGAATGCCCAACAAACCACAAAACACATGAACTATTTGTACGCGCAGAAATGAGAAAAGGCTCCAGGTCAACGGCGTCCCCGCGGCAAAAGGACACGTCGTCGCAAAAATAATAAACAAAATACTCTCCCAAATGGAATGATTATAATAAGAACATTTTGTATACTAAATAAGATAATATATTGACAAATAGATTATATGTGAAGCTTATGCTGTCCCTTACTCATGAATTCAACTTTTACATACATAAATATATACATGACAGACGTGTTTTTCTTGAGCTGTGTGTTTTTTATTATTTTTCATTTTAAAGCAGCTTTTGATTTGTAATTATTGTTTTACATTGTAAAGTTAATGTCTATTTGGCCCGTATTGTGCTCAGTTTATTGGTTGTGCATAATTTTATAGTTTCGGCGTCAATTCACTTTATTTTTGTTTTTGCAATTATTTAGCATTTTGCTTTTAAGCAGCTCCCTTTGCGTGCATAAGGTTTGTGTGAGTGTTCGCGGTAGTCCTCTCATTGTGCACTTTGCTCTCACTCAGCCTTCTTTTGTTGTTTGTGTTTGCTGTTTGTCGCAGTACCTAAAAGCTCATCTTAGTACCGCTCATTTTCTTTGCTCAATTTTAGCTTACATCATTCTTCTTAAGCTTTGCGCTAACTACGTTATTTAGGTCATTCATCCTTATATTTATTCTGCCCACAATGTTTTGCTGAAACAAGTCTTGCACAATTAAAGGTTCAATTGATTTTGATCAACTTCGGTTTGTTAGCTGTTGGTTGTACGAGAATTTTATTCATATTAAATGTGCAGGATTAAGTGGGCGTGACTTCGACAAAGTTTACTCACCTAAAAAAGACTGTGGTGGCTTGAGGTGGTCCTGCCCTGTACGCATTGACATCCAATTTAATTTCTCACGTATGTATAATAACGTGGGAAATAAATTTTTAAAATTGCAAAAGTTAACTAAGCAACTTTCAACTGAGTTCGATAGTCAATATAAGTTTGTGTCTCTGCCCAAACGTAGGTTAGAGCCTCAATTTCTAGAGGTACCGCGGAGGGAGGGAATTTCCAAAATACACATTTTCTGCGAATTCACATAAAGCATCTGAGACTAAAATTAGTTATACGAATGGAAAATCGGGAAAACCCCCCATAGGGGGAAAGTGGGGGGTACACACATAAGGTATCTGTGTGCAAAAGTTGGTCTCTCTAGCTCTTATTGTCTCTGAGATCCAGGACACACGGACAGACGGACAGATATAGATCGACTCGTCTTGTCACGCTGATAAAGAATATATATACTTTGTGAGATCTGCCATGCCTCCATCTGTCTGTTACATTTTTCAGCTCCCGCAAACCTAGAATTGTACTCTTGTACATTTCATGTACAGATTATAAAAATATAAAACTGTCATAAAAAAGTTATAGTTGCGAGTGTCATCACTTATTGATGGCTGCGAACTGCTCGTGAATGAACTAGTTCACCCGCGAACTGTTCGCACTCCAACACACGGTATTATTTTATACAAAAAAAATATTTTAATTAAGTACTCATAGATCTGTGCATTTTAACTCTATTCATCACCTATTTAAAAAAAAGGAACATTTACGTGTATTATTCATACGGCCAGAGGCAGTAGCATAGAACGGATAAGCAGGCATTGGTGGAGAACGCAAACAAACGGAACTTCACAAACACAACGCACACAAACAGCAACAATTCCGATCAAGAAATGGCTAATATAGTTAGCAATCACA